GTGTAGCGTGCCCGTCCCCAAGGTTCCAGAAATGTTCTAATCTAGAAAAATACTAGAGAGACACATTTCAAACTTTGGCACTAATTCTTGGATACCATATGGGTCCTAATCCATTAGTTACACTTTTTGGCACCACTGATGCACAGTTGATCTTGTCACAGTGTCACACACTGTCTTTCGCTTCCCTCGTGGCTAGGCATGCAACCCTTCTAAGATGGAGTAGCTCAATGGCTGAGGGACCTTATGTGTTATTTAAGCCTCGAAATGATCCATTATTCAATTAGTAATACCAGCAGGAAATTTTACAAGGTGTTGGGGCAATTCCTGAAATATTTTTCCAGCCTTCTAGCACTACTCAGTAAATTCTCTGTTTTTGTTGCTGTTGTTGTTTTGTTCTGCTTTTTGTTTTGTTTTGTTTTTTTTTAAAAAAAAAAAAACTGGCTCAAGGGACAGGGCTATTGTGTGGTATGGGTAGGGGGTAAAGTGATAAAAGCAATTAAAAGATATGAGAATGTGTTATTAAGCTGCAATTTATTACATCAGCTTAAGCAACAATTGTGAAACCTACTTACTTATTGTATAACAGTTGTGTGTATCTCTTTTTCTTTGTTGTTTCAATCTAATAAATATATCTTTAAGAAAAAAAATGTATTTAGAGCACACTAATGAATTGTCCCACACTGATAAATTACTGCAAAATTGTTAAATTAGAAAAAAAAATATATTTATTTTTAAAATAATGCCACTGCATTACCATTTTTAGGTCCATTATTTCAAATAACACTGAAATAATAAAGTAAAATAATTGAAGTATGCAAATCATTGTCTCTTCTCTCCTTTCTCGCAGCTGAGCCTCTGGTAAAGGAGGTTAAGAAAACCCGCATCAAAATAGAAGACTTTCACATCTTGAAGGTGATTGGCCGGGGCACATTCAGCGAGGTGAGCGAGAATTGTACCTACTACTTTATATGAGTATAATTTTTAGGTATTGACTTAAATTCTACATTTAAGAATATGAATTATTTAGCTGCCTTTTTATGTGGACTGGGGTTTTGCTGAAAGGAACTGGACCTGTCTGCAATGATACTACTTACACTCCACATAGTTTCTTCTTAATCATTTCTACTAGATCTTTTAATATTGACATGTCAAGGCCACCAAAATGGGTAGAACTCTGTCACGGCGGGGTATGCCAGTGAGTTTGTGAAAAGGACCCAAAATCAGACACTAGAGAGGTGAACTGAAGTTGAAACGAAGAGTGAGCTATTTATTATGGCTTGTGGACATGAACATAAAACAAAAGCAAATGCAAAACAGGAGCAACAACTAAACTGAAACCTAAAATGGGAAAACTAAAAAACTACTGTATTTTCAGACTATAAGGCAAAAAAATAAATAAATCAGTCAGATAAGTCAAACTTTACTCAACTCATTCTTCTTGCTTCCTCCTCTTCCGTACCATTGATTCATTAATGTTGAATTCTCTGCAGCGGCTCTATTCCCATGTTGTTGCAGTATATTAACATTGGTTGCCAACCAAGAAGAAGAAGAAGCAGTGAGCCAGGAGGGAGTCCTGAGTGATTCATTCACTCTATGATTCAGCACAGGAGGGAGGGGGTAAGTGAGTCCTGAGTGATTCGCTTACGCTTACGATTCAGCACAGGAGGGAGGGGGT